TATAGAAAGTCTAATGGCCTCCCTGTGTAAAACTCCAACCTGCATACGGACCTCCTAAGTGATGTATGTGACTTTTCCCTCTCTAATGGGACGGCCATCTAGCGGCTCCACTGCCAGACAAGAATAACATAATGTTAAAGTGAGTTTATGTTGTTGGGCAAATTCATGTGACAAAGTTGCCATGCAGCAGCACCTGAGTCTAACAAAGCAGACGTGGAAATAGTTCTATCTTGAACCGTTATTTTCACTGGAGTTTTAACACATGAAGAGGAATAATTTAGCTGCGCACTTGCACTCACCGCTTTGGAGCTAGATGAATTGGGGCGAATGGGGCATGCCGTCTTCAGATGTCCGGCTTGGCCACAGTACACGTACAGATGATGTTGAATTCGTCGTTCCCGCTCCTCGGGGGTTAAATGAGTGTAACCAAGCTGCATCTGTTCTGGAGGGGGTGCTTGTGTATTGGCGAACAGGGTGCGAGCAGGACGACGTGAGCGAATTAAATTGTCAATTTGGATTGTTAGTTCAATGAACTTCACTGAACTTAAACAATCGTCCCTCATCGCGGCACGCTAGTTCAGCTTGGAGTTCCAGATTTAATCCCTTTCTCAACAGCAGTTTTAACGGATCTTCTCCCCAGTTGGTTTGTGCCGCGAGAGTGCGAAATAACAAGGCATATTCTGCCGCCGTTCTCCTCCCCTGGCATAGGGCGAGCAACTGATCACCAGAACTCTTACCTCCATCCGGATGTTCAAATACTTCTCTGAAGCGCTGAAGAAATACATTGAAGGAAGGGAAAGCAGTTCCGTCATCTCTCCATACTGCGGTGGCCCAGTCTAAAGCCCTTCCGGTTAGCAATGAGCAGACAAAAGATATCCTGCTCGAATCCGTAGGGTACAAGGTAGGTTGTTGGTTTACAAACAGAGAGCATTGTAACAGGAAGCCTTTGCATTTCGTTGGGTCTCCGTCAAACTTTTTGGGGAATGCTAGACGGGGGTTCACGCTGGTGGAAGGAGGGCTTGTAGTGCTTGAACGAGTTCTTCAGTCAGGGAGGTTAGACAAGTTAGCTGGTGCTGATGCATTGTGAGTTGGTGGGCTTGAGCTGACAGTTTGGATGATAATTGCGTGATAGCTGCTGGATCGCTGAGAGGCGAAGTCTTCTGTAATGAGGAGTCATTGGATTGAGAATCCATCTGCAGCTTTAATAGATCAGAGTCGAAAACAGGTACAGGCTAGGTTGAGCCAGACAGCAAACATTCACAGTACAAAAGGACATGCAAGAGGTCTGGGCATGTAGCTGACCATCACAATCCAATAGACAATCAAAGGTCGGGGCAGGCGGCAAAGAATCAAACAACGAGAAACAGTCCAAGATCAAACAGAATAATAGTCCACAGTAGAAACACTCAGAAATGATCACCACGGCAAATCAAGACTTCGCAGGGTGGTGTTTGTGTGGAGTGTTGAAATAGTGTCTGTATGATGAACTGCAGGTGTGTGTGTAATCAGTCCCATATATGAGGGCCTGTGGGGATTGTAGTCCAGTCAATATTCTGGTGAGAGCTCCCTCTGGTGATCCGGAGGAAGCGGAGAGAGAGCCTCTCTTGTAACACACATGTATGCTGTTGTTCCTCTTGCCCACTATTCTATGCCTTTGTGACTGTTTTATCTACTTTTAAACTCTTTCCTCAGGGAACTAAAATCCCAAGACTTATTTAAATGCCAATATACATGGCACTTTCATAAGCACCCTCCTCTGATAGTCTCTCTACACATGTCATAATCAAGGACAAGTTCTTGTTCTGAAGCTCTTTCACAGTCATAAACCGACATGTCAAGTACCAATTTTAATATAAGTATACAAGTATAAATTTAATATAAATATTTATGTTTATGTTATTATTTCTGGCATTAAGAACAGTGAAGAGTAAATTAAGTCAGTTTAGTGTAAAAAAACAGTGTCATCATGTTATACCATCCATTTAACATTGTCTGTCATAGAGTATGTGCTTTTTTATGTATAGAATTGTTTTCTGAATTTCAACTTGCTTTTGTTCATCAGTATAGAGCCATTCAAAGTTGTCAAAAAGTGCAATGAGCTTTGACACCACTTTGATTTTATTTCAAAATTTACTGGAATTACAGTTTTTCTTAATTGATTTGACACATTTCTCCCAACTCAGGTAATTTCTCTCAAAAACGTTAACACAGTGATCTGAACACTCTGTTAATGTCCTAAAAAAACAGTTGCAGCTCTTTTTATTGGGTTTACAAAAATCACAATCATTTGTGTACCATTTTTACAAACACAACAAACAAAAATCTATTATTTGTTAAATTCTCAATTGCACATTCAATTAGCCCCAGAAATCTGCCGAGTTAGTAATAGACACAACATACGAAATGCGAATTTCCTAATTGTTTACACAGCTATCTCAATTACAACAACTAAAAAATGGGGTTAAGAAAAACAATAAAACAGAAGAATAATGAGAAGGGGAAAAAGAAGAAGTAACAGTGAGAGGTGGTGGAGAGGGTTGTGGAAGGGAATTAATGAGAGGGAGAGGAACAGAAGAGAAAGAGCTGAGGGGAGAGGAATAGAGGGTATAGGAAGAGGAGACGAAGCAAGAAGAGCTAAGGATGTAGGAAGAGGATGTGATCGGCCATCGTGCCACAGTCAATGTCCCGGGACATACAACATTAGAAAGGCTCCTACATTTTTTAAACTCCCTCAATGAAATCCACTTTCCACAGGTTGATCAAGAGCAAATGGAGCAAACTTTTGTAGTTGAGACAGTATCCAAACCCACCAGCTCTGGTGCAAGAGTAGTTTGAGCATCCCCCACTTTTCAGGATGGTGTTCCTTCCACCATATTCTCCTTTCCTAAATCCAGAGTTGGAATCCAGTTGAGGAGTTCTTCTTCTCTTGGACATGAGTATATGAATGCAAGTTGCAACCATTACAACCAGTCGTCTTCAAGCCATGCAAGAGGCCTGTGGAGAAGTTGAGGCACTATAATGTCAAGGATAGATTCAGCATTCACTGCGAAAATATATGCTGTGATGTTGATAAAATTCTATGGTCAAATGAAAACTCATTGTTATACAACTAAACTTTGAAGAATATGATTAAAGAACATGCAAAACTTGTATTTTCATTCATGTATTTGAGCTGAATTTATCAAATCAACAGAGAACATGCTTGTAGTTTTGATTTTTGATAAATGCATTAAATGCAGTGCTTCATTATGCAGTGAATATTAAACTGTTTCACCAACAGAGTGTGTTTAGTTTGCTGTGTTAATTGTTTTAAGAGCAACCACATTCATTTGGAGAAGTGTGTCAAAGTGTGTCAGCTTTTTTCTAGCTACAGTAAAAGTGAGGTTGACCAAATTTGTGGCCATGTTTACAAATTCACTATATATTTTTTGTTGCTTTTAAAACTATACATTAACACACATATATATATATATATATATATATATATATATATATATATATATATATATATATATATATATATATTTGAAATTAAGCATTTTTTTGTGTTTGCGTTTGAGCAAGAGAGGCGAAAGAGGGTGTAGATGGTTATGTTGGTGATCTAGTCTATCAATTTTTCTATATGGAAATGTCAGTGACACTGCTGTTGTTGTCCTTATTTGTGCTTTCTCCCAGTTGTGTGTATAGTGAAAACAAATTAGTGAATAGAGCTAAAAAATGTACAGTAAGTTCAGTCAAATAATTTTTTGAGTGTACAGTATGTTGCTTTCTGTGATTATCCCTAAACAATACAGCACACAAATCTGCACTCTTTAGCCTACAATAATAACAAATGTAGCCTAGGCCTACCGTGTTTAAGTAATTTGTTGTTTCAAGAAGCTCAACAGGAAAGTGAGCAGAGAGAAGAGAAAAGCAAGCAAGATTATGATTTTCTCTTTTATATCTATTCTATTGACGTATTATTTACTCTCCAAGTATTCGTCTATCGCGAGTGCAGTGCTCTCTCCCCCTCTCTCTCTCTCTGTAATGGCACAGCATCACCTGCCCTCATTTCTTTATTCAAAAAGCCTTATGAAGTGCCAGGAGACTCAGCCATGAGGTGGCGAGCAGGCGAGGATACTCATACAGCAATTGTTAACCGTTATTTTAACAGTCTCTGTAATGAAAGCGCCGTGATCAAGTAAGAAATCGTTTTGGAATTTGGATTCGGATTAAAGCGGCGTTTGCGCAGCTCTGCCAGATGATTTGATGTGCGGCACATGCATGCAGTGAACGAGACAATCGACCGCGAGAGATATTTAGACATGTAGAGGAGCTGAATTTGCAGGGATGTGGTAGGTAGGCTGAAACACGTCTGAGGAGGGTAGCAGAGTAACATTCAGCTGCAACTCTTGAGTCCATATGGGCTTTGCAGAGCAATCCGAGAACCACTGACGTTTAACTTGCATGGGTCTATTTTCTTCTTTACGAGCGGGTAAGTAGGTTACTTCACCTGTTCCTTATCTTAAAGTCATACTGACACGACAGTTTCCGCTGTACTCTGAGAGACTGTGGTCTCCTTTCGCTGAAATGTAAAGTGTAAAAATATTTTGGCTGGTAACATAAAAATGGCTTTATGTTGTAACATCTATCTATCTATCTATCTATCTATCTATCTATCTATCTATCTATCTATCTATCTATCTATCTATCTATCTATCTATCTATCTATCTATCTATCCCCTTCAAAATTGGCTATTTTCGTAACCTAATAATGTTACGACATAAAGGTCACTATGTACCACTCTTAGTTTGTTGAATTATTAGCCATGCTCCATGGTAGCTTGTTGCTCTAGTCAGTTGGTCTCCCTTGGTTCTGAATGATTGCACCTGCACACACATCTGAGATCCCAAGATCCCATGAGATAATGCTGTCAGAGGCAACTCTGCAAGCAGGGATGCTGAATTAAAATAAAATAATAGTCTATGATAATGAAATTAAAATGTCATCCCTTTCATTTTCACTCTCTCTGTCTCTCTGCCCCTTTTAATTTCCAGTTTTCCTCTTGCACTGTCCTCTTGTTTTCACTACTTCTGATATAATCAAGACTGGCAAGAATTACACCAAAGCATGTGAGTACTTTTATGCATGCTTTCTCAAATGTATCCTGTATAATTAGGCATAGTTGCTTTAGGTTATCTGGAGGTTAGTGTACACTTTATGTAACCTATGCCATTCGATTATCAGCTGTTGTTCCATTTTAAAGATATACACAATTTGGCTGCAGTCCAATGGAAAAATCTATACTTTGAAGTGGTTTTCTGTTTGTTATTGCCCAGGGAATCATCCAGAACAATAAAGTTATGTTTTACATAATTTTTATTATCTGTTTAAATTCAATTTTCATTAAAGTTATGGCACTGTTGTTTTTGAGAAGTATTGAGTGTGATCAAGTGCAAATTGTTAATAACATTGCAAATCATCACAAATCAATGGTAAGATAAACTAAATAACCCAGAGTATTCATGAAGTCATCAAGTTGTAGATATTGTTCTTTGCACTTGAATGAACCATTTCAAAATCAATCAAACTGTTTACAACTCAATGCATACAGTATTTTCTAATCATCTCTTTTTTTGTGCAACTGGACTTGAAAATACAAGAATAAGTCTTATAATCACCCCACGTAAATACTGCAAATTTGAAATTGTGCTTGTTTTTGTATTGTATACGAGCTAAAGTGTTTAAGAGATGGTTAGTTGGTGTATCTGTCTGGAAAAATGCCCTCTTAACTGACTTGTGTTTTGGCTTTATTTGAATGAAGATGCCCTTTGTCATAAATAATATATAGGGTCTGTGGTCATATGATTGAAATAGGGTGGGTGGTCCCAGGTGGGATGTAGCCACAGGGCGTTTAAACATCTGGCTGATCGTCGCTTTCATACTTATTACATTCTTTCTATCCCTCTTTCTCTCCCTTTAATCTCTCTCTTGTTCCTGCAGATGAGACCATCATCCTTCTTTGCAAAAAGGAGAAGATCAAAATTGGAACTTGTTTGGCCAATCGATTAGGATGTTACTATAAGAAAGACTGTGGCAGGGAGTACATGTTGATGAAACTGATTTGTTCAGGTAAGTAAAACATCCAGTTTTCAATATCTGTAAATATAAAATGTATTCAAAGAGTGTGGATATTTTTCTACCATCCTTTACTGTCTCTTCCAGTCCATGATTTGTATCTCACCTACTGCTGGTTACAAACACATATTACAGACCACAATTTTACACACATTTATAGAACAGAGGCTTCACACTAGGGATGCTAACAATTAAACAATGATAGATAAATTGTCAATAATAATTAATTTGGTCAAATAAGAGAGGTAGTTTTGAGAAGCGTGAGGCTCATGTGCAAAACACGTGCAGCAGACACACGAGAATAAATGAAGAACGCGACCTTAGTTACGTATTATAAATGTATTAATAGGTGTGTTGGACTTGATAGTTGTGTATGACATCAAAGTACTGCGAGAGCAATTAGAAAGCATACGGAACCATCTGCTCTCTAATCGCTCTTTGCGATACCTTTATGTCATACACTGATCGGTCTGCACAGCAAGCCCAACACACCTAATGTCTTCAAGCCATGCAATTGATTAGTTTGGCTAGTAGTTTATTTAGAAACATAATTAACTGTAAGCCCGTCTAAATCTGTCCAATGGCGGTATCCGATAGAACGGGGGAAGGTCTCTGCGCGTCACTGTCTTTCCTTTCACGCAACACAACAAGATTAAATGAAATACATTTTCTCATATGTATTACCTCGTTATTTCATCTGACTCCATAAATGAAAAAGGTTTTAATGATATTGAGCATCATTAAATGTGAGCGAATGTTTGATTATTCCTTTTAACTCTTTACTTATATTTTACCCGCTCATATTAGGAAGCTATGTCGCTCTGAGATCCTCACGCCTTCTGCTTAGCGCGGGTCTCACGATCACAAGCTCGCCAGTTTTGGTCACCAAACAGAGGTAACTGGCTATATACCTGAGATTGGTCGCATGCATGCTTACACAATCAAAGATACTTTGGTATAGCCCCCGTGATTGCATACACTTGAAATTAAAGTAACGTTTACTTCAGGCAGAGGAATGGCCACTATTACAGATATAAGTTGACCAACATTACTCCTCTTATAATAGCTTTGGATTGGCCATGCCGTGGTTTCCCACATACACTTATCTAAAGTAACATTAAATTAAAACAGAGGTAAGACAAACCCAAATTAAGATTGGTCAAGCAGCATTTTTGCTGTTCTAAACGGAAATTCACTTCTTGTCTTTGCGGACCACGTACACTTTAATTACCGCCAAATATTAGTTGTCATTAGTTTCAGAGTCAGTCGGAATAAAATCAAATGTAACAATTTATTATGTAAGGTAAATGTATCATGCCAATTTCATAATCAGTTCAAAGATAATAAATACAAAACATCAATTGCTCTGGAATAAAGAAAGAAGATGTGAACCTGACATTATAAAATACATGATGCTTGCATACACTCCACATCATGGGCTAATTTGAGTTACAAGTCTCTTGTTGCATTTCTTTATATAGACAGAAACTTCTTTTTACATGGAAACATTTGCTAACAATGGGAATTTGCATTCAGAAACTTTACACCTTTTGGTTTACTTCTTTGGGAATGAGACATTTGTACCAGTCGCACAGAGACATTTCAAATGATACCAAACATGAATAATACTGTATGATAATTATTCACATTAAACCATATAGATTTTTGGGTGAATATCTGGTGATCTCAGTGTGAGAGAGAGACAACATGGGGGAGGTGATTGACTCGGGGATGCTAGTTTCTCAAGAGAGAGTCGAATGTTAATTTCGAGAAAGGTCCTTTGTCTTCTCGGGGAGTGGTCGTTCCTCAACCAGACTGCCCGGAATGTTCTAATTTCTCAATTCTTGCATAAACAAGGGTCCAAAAAAACCACCAAACAATCGATTCTACTGAACATGAGAACTACTTGCTTGTGTAAACGCCACAATGAATGTAAATAGAATAAACAAGTAATAATACCCTGGTTGAGAAGTGATGATTTTCCAGCGCTGTTTCAGCTGTGCGCTCCTATTCTATGGCGCATGGTAAATCAAGACTTGTCAATCTGAGCGATCAAACCAATCTGAGCGCTCTCCAGCTGTAAAACAGTGTCCGTTTGGTCTCTACAAATCATCCCTACCCTCTATATCCACCCACCATACCCAAGATCCATTTTCTATTGATTGAACTTTCAAAAATTAGAACATTTAAAAGCACTTGTTAAGGTCATATTCCCTATATTCACTAATGCCAATCTTCTAAACTTTAAAACGATACCTAACTTAGTAGCGTCCCTGGCTTCGGATTTAAGAAGTTAAGGATAACGATTAATTGATCGTTAATTTAAACAACAATTGATTATGGGAATTTATGTAAATTGACATCCCATACTTCACACACTTGTAATGTTGATACCAGTTTTATCCTGAGGAATAAACAAACAAACCAAACTGTAGGCAGCTAGCTGGAGGTCGAGACAGAAACCATGGCAACGTGGCTCCAAGTTGTGATTCAACTGGGCTATCTTGACACTGAATTGATTAAGCAGGGTTGTTTTAAAGAGAGCACTTTTCTCCTCAGTTTGTCTGGCAGCTTGAAAGAGCTCAGAGTTACAGCGCAAGAAAATATAAAGCATGTAAACCACTACTCAGAGTGCCAGAAATGTCATCTAAGAGAATTTAAATGTTTTCATACATATAAACTGAGAGCGATACATCATCTCGTTGAATTACGTAAAGGCAGGTTGTCAGCCATAGGGGATCATTCTCAAACCTGGGCAAACAAATCCAATAAAAAATTTGTTTTGCTAGTTGATTCAATATTAGAGAAATGGTTCTTGAATGTTAATGCATGCTCAAGGGACTGCAGTTACTTATTTCCTTGCAAATTTTTAATCAGAATTAGCCTAGTCCCAGACTAACATGCATGTTTGAGCTGTTTTACCGGAAAGCAACTTGCACTGGTATATCTTAAAATTTGTCACTGCCATTGTTTTATCTCAAGATGCACACCAGTAATGTTTTTCTAAGGCACGTTTATAAAAGCTAATTATATGTCCCAATTGAACTGAGGCCTAATCCTGGCTTAATATAAGCCCTGTCTGTGAAACCAGGCCATTATCTTGTTCGCTAAGTGGCCACCATCCTCTTTTAAACACCTTCGTAGGGGACAGGCAGTCCCTTTAGCCATAGCGCGTTTAGGGCATCTACTAATTCGGACTGACCTTTAGCTAAACTGTTTACCGACACAGGAAATTGTATCTACTTACACTGATGATGTCACAAGGCTTTCAACACGTAGCAAAAGAACACGACGTTGTATTTTGTTTAACCTTACCTCATTAATTTAAAAAATTGCTTGTCTTTTGGAAATTGTTGCATCTTCTTGTGTTTGTTAGGAATTATGTATAGAAATGGGTAAGGAATGATGCTCTGTGACAAATGTAATGTAGTGGATGAGACAGACTGAAATATTATATTGAAATATAATCAGTTTCTAATGTAATGTATAGAACCCCCTGCATGAATTCATTAACATGAATAATTTTCATCATTAGTATTGTCAGAATCTTTCAGAATGATATTTTCCTGAGGTAGTGGTGCGTGGCACATGAAGACAACCTGTGGTACCTTAGAGTTAGATCACTTAAAATATTGAAATGTACCGGATGCGTCTTGCTGCTTTCCCCAGATGTTATAATTTCATGTACAATGCAGAAGCCTGCAGGTCGCAGGACTCCTTAAAAATGCACTCACATAGAGTAGTGCTCTCTAGTCCCTCCCCTCAATTCACTCTGATACATGATACATTGCTCATCTATCCAACACTTTAAATGTCACAGTAGCTCTGTGGTCCCTGCAGCCAGCTTTTTTCCAAGCTCCCAGCCCCCACAGTGGAAGAAAATAACAAGAAATAAATACTGATAAAAACCTACACTGTTTTGGCTGTCAAGGACCAAAGGACAAAAAGTAACTATAAAAGCACTATAAAAGTATCATAAAAGTAGGCCAAAGAACTTGTGCATCATAATGCAAGTATTCTGAAATAATACAAAAGCTTTGTATAAACAACAGACCAAATTTAGGGTGTTATTCATTGAAAAAAATCATCATCAAATCTTATGGATATGTCGTTTTTTTGTAGAATGACATATTATTTTACCTGGTACATACTGTATTTCATATTACTTACTCACCAATTAGAGTTAGTTTTGATCAGCAGGTTGCCTGCTGTGTTGCCATTTCCTCTGTTCCTGATGTGACCTTCAGTCAGGCAGTGTCTCAGCTGCTTAGATCTGTGTGTTGTAGCCAGGTTGCTGACGCTGGCTCTAGCCCACTGGGGATGCCCCTGCTGTGTGTGTGGAATAGCACACCCATCATACCTCTCCCTGCATCATTGGCACAGACAACATCCACCATTATTGCTACTACAGCCCACTCATAAACACTCGCCCTCCTACAGTCATCCCAGAGGGAGGCTAAAAGAAGCGGCAAAGAAGACAAGAAGAAAGCAAGATTCAAAGTGGTGAAAATTTTTGCCGTTGTCGTTGCATCAGTCCTTTAGATTCATGTGTGGTTGCTTCTATTCCTGTCAGACGGCTTTGCACGGCGTGGTACGCTGGCTAAATGCTCTGTCTGCAAACTTGGTGCCCTAAACTTGGTGACTTTCATGGCTACTTTTAAGTTCATGCAAATCCCAGTTGTAGAAAGGCTTTGTTTTGTTTGTTTAGAGTGCATTTGTATTTTAATTCTAGAGCGAGAACGAAGGTCTCTCCTGCTGCTGCTAACATAAACGCTTTCAATTAGATGAGCAATGGGCGGCTCTGAGTTTTGGGTTATCAAAATAAACTTTATTGCAGCCTTTCCTGAGGAAGAGTACCCACACTGACATACTTCCTTGAGTTGGCCGTGGTTTTGCACAGTTGTCAATGTCAGTGGTCCACATTAAAACAGTATTAAGGTCCTTGCACACTGAGTCCAAAATTCGCGTCCGAAATTTTCGCACGTTAAAAAATA